CATCGGTCAGTGCGGCGCTGCTGCACACGTTTGCGGTGGGCCGGTACGAGCGGTGCGGCTGCGAGCGCCAACGCTTCTACGTGGAGCGATTCGGCATTGTCTTCACACACGTGCCGAAAGCCGCAGGCACGTCCCTGGAAAGCCTGCTGCTGGGCGAAACGCCGGGGCTGTCGGGAAGCCACTCGTGCCACGCAACCATTCGTCAGATGGAGCGCTGCATTCGACCGCAAGCGAACACGAGCACGCCACGGTTTTGGGTCTGGCGCCACCCCCTCAGCCGGCTTGTGTCGATGTATGAGTACGCCCGGGCTGGCGGCAATGGCAACGAGTCCACATACTCGTGGGCGGAGGGGATGAGCTTCGATTTGTTCGTTCGGTGGCTTGAGCAAGCGAGGTCGGCCCTAATGGGCAGCTTGCCCGGAATATTTTCCCCCCAGGCCCTCTGGTCCTCGCCGCCGTATGCGGGCCAGATGCACACACTGCACATGCACTCCCTCGACGAGGATTGGTCGCGTCTACGCGAGCTCTTCCCACGGCTTCCCCAGCAGCCGCTGGATAAACATCGCGTAACAAGGCACGCTCCGTGGTGCACCTATTACAGCAACGCGTCAACGTTGTCGCTCGCCCGCCAGCTGTACGCTGAGGACTTTAGGCTCGTGTCCCCAAAGCGGCTCAGACAGGCAGAGGCATTTGACTGCGGACCGAGGACATCGTCCGCAGACGAGTGACCACTGACCAGCACTTTGCGGATTGATCGCTGCGTCTAGCAACGGGCGTCGATTGCTGCATAAAAATCTACAGGAAAAATCTAATCGACCAAGAAAAAGAAATACACTTGTACAACATGCACATGCACCAACGCTTCATACATCGAGAGAGAGACGAAGGCAAGCTAGGGTCACCAAACGCAGGGCGTGACTGACTGTAGCTGATAGATCTATCTCTCTCCACATGTGCATGCACATGTACATGTGTTGTGCATGCACCAACGCTTCATAGATCATACATCGAACGAAGGCAAAGCTAGGGTCACCAAACGCAGGGCGTGACTGACTGTAGCTGCTAGATCTATCTCTCTGCCAGCGAGGTCTGATTCTGCAACTCACGCCCTCGGTAGGCACAGGGTTGACGTTGACCAGCACAAGGCCCGCAAGATGGCATGCAAATTGTGCCACAACCCACTCATGCCTGTTGGGCAGCCCTGCGTGCGTGGTGCAGCACAGTAGCTCCGGGACGCGAGGATGGGTTAAGGACGGGCGAAGCTTACACACGCCTAGAGCGTCACCCGCCTGGAAGCCTAACCGCCGTAGACCGACCGCGCATCGCTCGCTCTCGCCGAGAAGCTGAGCGTAAGTGCGCCGAATGCCGAATTCGCAGTCGACAAGGACCTCACGATTGCCCTGGCGCAAAGCCTGTCGGATGAAGAAGCTACCAACAGACTCTTCGAGAAGAGGCACACTTGTATCCCCGTGCACGTGACTCAAATTTGCGTCTGGCGACTCGATGCGCGGCACGTGAGCGCCCGCGCCGTGCCTCGCACGAGCCGGGCGCATCTCGGCACGCAGCGCGAGAACTTGCAGTGCAAACGCAACATCTTGCGGAGGGCGACAATGGAGGACCGACGGTTAAATATTACTCGAAGCGCAGGCCGTTTAGGTGGGCCACACACTAAGTTACGCTGTGAGTAGTTTGTATTCACAGATGATCTGAGATTGGGGCTTCGGAGGTGGACGGACGGACGAGCGCGAAAGTAGGCGCGCATCCAGGCGCTCGACGGCTTCCCGGAGGATGGCGCCGCCCTCCCTGCGCTCAAGCAGCAGTTTGCCGACCTCGCCAAGGCGCACGCGCGCTCGCTGCCCGCCAATGCGAGGTACGATGAGCAGCTGGAGGCGTACCAGGCCTACACCTCCGAGAAGAAGCGGCGGGCGGCTGCCGCAAAGGAGCGCGGAGCTCAGAGCAAGGAGCTGGCCTCCGACGAGGCGGAGGCGACGGCATGGCGCCGCGAGTTCCGGAACATGCTGCGATTTGTGTCGGAGCACACAGCCACGCTGCGCTTCGCCATCAACCCCAACACCGGCGCCGAGTACACCGATGAGGAGAGGGGCGAGCTCTTCGTTGACCTGTGGCGCACGGCGTGCATCGCCCTGATGACCGGCATGGCGCGCGACTCGAGCACGGCGGAGTATAAGATTCTCGAACTGCTCGGCCACCCTGTGGTCAAGCCCAACCGCAAGGAGCCGTGGGCGATCCCCGGCAAGGGCTATGTCGACCCGCGCTCCAACCTCTTCACCGTCCTCGACTCGCTGCTCCACGACGACCAGTGGGAGACGAAGCTGACGGCGCTCACAGATGCACGGATGACGTACATGAACGAGTCGTATATGCATCTGCTGCGGATCTACGTGCCCAAGGCGTCGTACTTCTCACGCTTCTACGCGCTCGGCGTCTGGTGCAGTGTCTTGCAATGGAACGAGAATGTCGGGCGCGCTGTCCTCGGCCACAAGTGGGTCCTCGGCAAGTCGGGGCAGCTGGCAAGCGACTCGGCGCGCTGCTGGTACAAGCGGCCGGTGCGGGCAAAGCAGACTGCCCTTTGGCAGGCCTCGGGCTGGGAGGCCTATGCGGCTGCTGTCGCAAAGCCGCCTCCACCACAAAAGTGGGTGCAGGCGGCGTGCCCGCGGTGCACAGAGATGCTGCAGGTCCGGATGCCGGCCGGCCTCTCGTCCGTGTCCTGCGCTGCTTGCCGCGGCGTGTTTGCCATCCAAGCGTCGGCAACGGCGCTTGGGATAGCAACTGGCGCTGGTGCTGCGCCTGCGGCTGCTGCCACGGCCGAGCTTGCAGCCACAGCGCCGCCGCTCATGTCGTACGCGTTGGGCGCGCGCAAGGCGATTGCGGTGTACCCCATCGCCGGGGGCGCCGCCGCCGAGCAGAAGCCGCCCGCAGCGGAGTCGTCGGCGAGTTCGTCCGATGGCTCGCCGTCGCAGGCAGCAGATGGCGGTGAGAGCGGCGAGAAGGCAGGCGGGTCGGGTGGCGCGGCTCTGCCCGACCTTCATCCGGCGGCCCTTGCAGCCGCTGAGGCGGCTGCCGCTGCGGCCGGGGGGGTCATGAAAATGCTGGTGGGACCGTTGCGCGAGCACCTCGCGGCTCTTCTCGGCCACAAGCCGATCGGCGACCGACCAGCACTGCGCTTGCAGTTGCAAGAGCTGCTGCCGCGCACGGCAGAAGCGGACGCTGTCGGCCGCGCGTCTCTCTCAGCTGCTGCAGCCGCCACACTGCATACCGGATCGTCGCCCCTGCATCCAGTGCCGTACTCGGGGAGGAAGGGGATCGAGCCGCGGTTCCCAGCCACTTTTGCAACCTCCACTCTGCAGGGCTTCTCCGAGACCCTCCCACGCGCCGAGATCTCTGCGTCAGCGCTCCCGCTCTGCGGGTATGTTGTGCCGCTACGTCTGCTGCCGGAGCCGTACTCCCTTCCATTGTCGCAGCGACAGCGCCGTCAGAGGCAGCCGGGGGCGCCAAAGTGGACGGCCGGGCGCCGAGCCGAGCACGCCGCTGATCTGGCAGCCGGCCGCGAGCCGCGCGGGCTACCGCAGCCCGATCCGAAGGCGGAGCAGCCTGGCGGGGCAAGTCGTCGCAAAGGGAAGAGGCAGCGACTCGAGCTCACGTGCCTTCACAATGTCGTGGGCTGTTGCGGCTTGCCGCATGTCGGCGGCAGGCTCCCACAGCCCACGACGGCTCTCTGCCCCGACTGCGAGGAGGAGATGTACCCGGAAGGCATGCCCATCGGCATTGACCGCCTGCCGCCCGCAGAGGGGGGGAGCAGCGATGCGGAGGATGGCATGGAGGTTGATGCGGCGCCTCGTGCGACACCGACTCCGCCGAACCCGCCCGCCTCATCGCGTCCCGCGATGCCGCCGCCTCCCTCCATGCCGCCGCCTCCCTCCATGCCGCCTCCCTCCATGCCTCCGTCAAAGCCGCCGTCGGGTATGCCGCCTCCCTCGACGCGTCCTCCTCCGTCCAGCTCTATGCCGTCTTTGCAGTCGCTGCACGCAGCCGGACCTTCCTCTGCCCACGCCTGCTCGACTGCCACCGCCGGTGCTTCCTCCGCTTCCTCTGCTCGCGCCTGCTCGACTGCCACCGGTTCCGCCGGTGCTCCCATCGCTTTCGATGGGGCCGAGCACTGTGACGTCATCCCCAGGAGCGGGATACGGCCCATTGTCGAGTCGCGTCTTTCGCATGTGCCCCAGGTGCAGGCATACGCGCGGCTCGAGCGACTCGGTTGGCGACGTGGCCAGGCCAACGGAGACGGCAACTGCGCTCAGCGATCTGTGATGCGCTCGATCGATCGAATCTCGGCGGAGGCGGCGGCAACCACCCCAGCCTGCGCTCGGATTGCGAGGGAGCGCAACGCGGTCGTCGATCGAGTCCTTTCGATCACGGAGACGGACGGCGTGCGTGAGCGGGACGCGGAGCTAGGCATCTCGCTCACGCAGATACGCGAGCACCTCTTTGCGAGCACCTCTTTGGCGCGGGAGGCGCTCAACAGGTTTCGCACACCTGGCTACTGGGCCTCATCTGGTCGCGCATTTGCTTTGTTTCTGTGGGGGCTGGCGGACCTTATCGACAGGCCGATCATCGTGATCGAGCGCGACTTAGTGCAGGGCACCGTGCTCGAGCCCGTGTGGGTCTACCGCGCTCGGCAGGACCTGTTCGGTCCCAGTGCGAGGCTCCGGAGGGACAACTACGGGCTCTGTGCTCAGATGACTTTTGACGAGGTCCTTGCCATGCTTGCCGCCTGGCAGCGCAAGGTGGTGGATGGGGCGGGCGCAGCAGCGTCACGAGCCCAGGACCCTCCCTTTGCACTTGTCGAGTTTGGTGCGGTACACTACAGCCCTTTTGTGTTCAGTCTCTAAGTACGGTTACAGGTCTCGTACAGTGTTCTATAATGGCATGTTTGAGAAACATTAGTACACGTCGACCGACCGACTGTGCGTCTCTCGATCTCACCGCTGGGCACGGAAACCAGTGTACCCATGCGCGGTGCAACGCGCTATGGCCACGTGATCGCACGTGCAGCTGGGCTCCGGCCAGCGGCATCGGATTGCCGCGACTACACAGTCTGGCAGGCGAATGCGCACGCCTGCGCCGAGGTGCCCGTACTTCATCGCGATAAATTGTCGGTAGAAGACATACCTGGCAGATCGGTGCAGGCCCGCCTCGTCGTAGCCGAGTTGGATCTCATTGGCGATGATGTCGTCTCGAGCCTGCGTGGTGACGAGATGCGTGCCGTGAGGCTGTGTTGAAGAGGGTGGGCCAATTGCGAGGGCGCGGACGAGGCTGGGGGCAGAGGCGTGGGGCGGGGCTGTGCGAGGGCGCGCCTGCATGTCGTCAGAGAGGAGCTGGAGCATCTCAACCATCGGGCATGTGGCCGTGTCGCCGTCGCCGATCAGCGTGTCGCAGCAAGCGCAGCGCACCTGCCGCCGCACCACCAATGGCGCGCCGGGCGCCGACCTCACTGTGAGCGTCGTCGGGGGCTCACGTCGTCGGTCCGCCTCGACATCTGGATCGACGTCGGGTACCCTGGCATAATGACGCATCGACTCCTCCGGGAGCCGCGCAGTGGGAATGCGGCGCAGGAGCTCTCGTGCTAGCCAGAGGGCGCCCTCAGGGTCCTGCGCCACTAGATCGTCCACCTGCCGCTCGCGCTCGGCTTCGCCAGCTGCGAGCTCAATGGGCCTGGCCATGTTGGACCTCAAGGCTAGCGTGCCAGTCGGGGCCGTGTCTGCCCCGGACGCGGGGCTCGAGGCGCTGGTGCGGGGAGTTGGCCGGGGCGGAGCGGGCGTCGGCATGGCGGGGCTCTCAGCCCCGCCAGTCTCAGCTGCAGCGTCGGCCCCGCGAGAGCGAAGCAACTCTTCTAGGCGCGCCCTGGAACGAGCGCGCCGCGCCGTAGCGTCGGCTGCAGACTCTTTCGCACCGTCTGAGGCACCCATGGTCATACCCGCAAGAGCAGTCTCCGACAAGTCGCAGTCGAGGCAGCGCAACACGTTGCAAGCGCCACATCTGTACGCGCCCTCGTACGACTGATTGAAGACGTGCGGGCAAAGCACACATTGCGCGAAGCCGTACATGAAATTTGCGGAGACGACGTCCATGATGTGCCCGTCGGGGCACTTCACCACCGATCCGTCGTCAGAGTCCTCGTCCTCGTCCTCGTCCGACGGAGGAGCGTCGCGGATGGAGCCGCCCGCGCCCGCGCGGCTAGAGCCTGAGTCGCTCTCGGTGCCGCTGCCACTGCCCGACTCGGATGCCGAGGTACTACCGCTCCCAGATGCGTCGCAGTCGGCCGAGTGGTAGTCCGCCTCGGATTCCGACGCCGATTCGGAGGACATCGTGCACGCATTGCGCCCTCGCAGCCGCTAGAAACTTTGCCCCCTGCTCTGCGGCGCGCGCCCGGCGGTCGAGAATTGAGGCTGTTTTCAATAGAGGAAATGCACGCGATGTCGATTATGCCTGCAGGGCATCTTTAAAAAGAGACGAAACGCTGCAATGGCACGCGACGGCAACGATGCAGGCACGGCGTCCCTCCTCGCCTCATGTCGTGTGGAAACGGGACAACCCGGAGTACGGCGTCGAAACGCATGCGGGCAACCACTTGTCCGAACCACCGCGTGTCCCGGTCCACCGTGTCCCTCCCTCCATTCACACTCTCCCAGTCCTTTCTGGTCCAGTGCCCGTCTTCTCCGCCCGCCGTCGGGCCGGTTTCCCTGGCTGTTCCAGGGCCTCGACACCTCACATCCTTGGCACATCGAGGTTGCCGAGAGCCAGCGGCGGCAGGCAACAGCCGATAAGGCTGTATCAGAAGACTGCTGCTGCTGGCTTGAGCAGTGACTCAATGCGCGTCAGAATGGAGGTGTGCGTGTGCTATGTATGTCGCGGAGCTACGTGTCGCGGGCAGTGCTGCCATGTTGGCCTGCATGGTGGCACTCGTTGTTCGGCGCATCACCCAAGACACCGAGGGCAGAGAGAATGATGCAACAGTGCCTCATGCTGTCAGAGGCTGGCTATGCTTGCCTGCGACACGTAACCTAGGCTCATCATGTAATGTGTGCATGTGCTGCGCAAGAGCTATTGGCGGTATGGCCTGGTGTTGGCCTCAAGAGCATGGCTAGTACTCTTGTCTTCACGAGGCTAGGCTATATGCTATGTGTTGAGCTCGTCAGCGCGCGCGCTTAAGGTGTCAATCTCAATCACCTGTTGTTGAGCCCTAAGAGCTGGGCTATTGCTCTTCTTGAGGGCTTAGGTTGAGGTAGGCTCCTATGGACGCGCATGTGTGTGCTATGTCATGTCATGTCATGTCATGTGTGTGTTGGTTGGAGTCTAGAAGCAAAGGATAGCTTGTCGATGTGAGTGCAAGCACAGGCCCAACGCTGCTGCTGTCCATCAGCATAGTTGGGCTTGTGACTTGGCTCGCACCGACGACCCGATGTCTTGAAGTCGGTGATAGAGGAGTGTATGTGTATCCTGCCGGTTGATCCATGGTCTGGTGTGGTCTGCCGTCAGCGGGATCACTGGACGCTGAGTCAGCAGTTGCAGGCGAGACGCTCGCGTGCGTGAAGGCATGTCATTGGAGATGAGGTGGATGATAGCGTGCTGATGTTCTGCTTGCTTATCAGGGAGATGGTGGTGAAGCGTGTATGTCTGTTGTTCTGTTACTGTAAGCTGTTGTGATGCTGTTGACTGAGATGAGCGCATGTGTTGGTGAAGCTGGGAGAGGTGGATGCGCGGGCTAGCGCAAATAGGATCGCGGGTGTCCGGCATGCTCATCGGACTGCATAGGCATTAGTTGAAAGCGTTATGGCGGTTGCCAAGCTGGCGGCTGAAGATGCGAGGTCCCCGCCAGCAAGGCCTTGAAGGCGGTGGCTAGGCGGCGTCCCGCCATCGCAGAAGGTGTGCAGTGACCACAGCTCTAGGCCCAGCCATGGTGTGCATTAAAGCTCGAGCGGTAAGTGGTTGATCTGATCATGGCTAATGTAGATGTACATGCAAACGTAATGCTTCAAAATTCTTGTAGTTCGGGTTGCTGCAGGCACATGGCCTTGAGCGCGTTACATCAAGACCGGAACATCATGCTGACGCATGAAGCGGTCGGCCAGTCTACGCTCGCTCATCTGCAGCGAGTCGTACGACCCAAACGAGAGCCTTGCCTCGGCGCACTCGCACAGCGTAAGCAGAGCCCTCCTCGCGGATGGCCTTGACAGCACCAGAGTCTGGTGTGTCTGACGCAAACGTTGGCCAGATTGTTGGCTTGGTGGCCAAGAAGGTCCAAGCTGCTGACTGTATGATGCCCCCCCGTGCTGCCTGTTGCGTTGCTGGACTATCTTCGACGCTGACGTCAGCCACGCTCTGTGTGGCTGTCACTGCTTTCTGCTGCGCCTGTGTAGCGATAAGGCGTTCTGCGGCGTGTTTGTGCTCGTCTCCCAAAGAGCTTAGCGGAACCCATGATGGCACCCAAGACACCCGAGCCTCTGGAGTTGAAGGACCCATACGGACCTCGAGCACTGCCTGAACATGGTCCCATGTGCAAGGACCAGGATAGCGAGTCTCAAGGTGAAGATCAGGTCTCTGCTCCTGAAGCATGTGGCAGCCGTATTTCCAATTTCGACATCGATCCCAGGACACATACCGCGGGACACCAAGACCCCAGGACCCCAGAACAAAGCTACATTCTGGGGTCCACAGGGGAAGTTGAGGTTGGAGGTCGCATGAGTAACGCAGAGACCAGAGTGTGGTGGTTCCTATAGCCCAGCATGCAGCAACCCTTTCCATGACCAAACAAAGCCAGGCGCTCTCTCAACTCTCTTCTCTGCCTCTTTTCTTCAAGGAGTGCCATCCGGCGGTGTTGTCTACAATAAGTACGCAGCAAGGTGGACTTACGGGGGGAACCACGGTTCCCCTCCACCCCTCCGGCCTCCGGCAGCCCACTCCGGGGGGTGTTCAAGTGAACGAACAAAAGCAAATGCAAAAAGCGGGTCATCTGTCACAGGAGTCAAAGAAATCGAGACGGCCAGACCGACGACCACCCGGTTGTCTGACTCGCTGCGCATGACATCGCGACCCATGTGGCACCCACTCGCAGGCCCGCCGTGGAAGAAGGCAAGCCACTCCAGCCGCATTTCGTTTTCGTTTTCCTCTGTCGACTTCCAACGAATGAGTGATAATCTGAGCACGTGGATGTCGACGCTGTCAACTTTTGATCGAGAAGGCGAGCCACTCTTGCACACCGCAGTCAGACAGCAAGCCAGCCAACGCGTAATCAGCAGCATCATCGAGCAAGATGTACACTCAGCCTGCATGCGTGACGCCATTTCCCGATCGGCCATCCATCATGCCGCTGCTCGGACCGATCCCAAGAGCATACAAGTAATGGAAATGTTGCTCGCTGCGTGTCCTGAAGCAGCGAGGGTCGAAGATGACTTCGGCGCGCTACCACTTCACGTCGCCTGCGAACAGATGTGTGCGCAAGCAGAGATGGTGATGCTGTTGCTCAGAGCATATCCGTACGCGGCCCGGTGCTGGGCTATCGTCGACGAAGAAGATCGGCGGCAACTCCCTCTGCATATGGCAGCACACACGATCAAAGGGTCCGCACGCGCGGTAATCATGAGCGTGTTGCTCGACGCTTTTCCCGATGCACAGCATGTGAGAGACGATTATGGCAAAACGGCGCTCGAGTATCTGCTAACCGAGGCTCAGCCATGCAGCGACAAAGGCACGCAGTCCGATCACGTGCACAAATCGATCGCCAGTACTAGCACGTCGTGTGGGTTCAGATATGAAGACATCTTGGGCCTACCTTCTGACTTTCCGCTGGCCAATCTGGAAATGAAAATCTGCCACACTGACACAGGTGAATCCGTCTTAGAGGGATCCTATTGCATTCAAGCCCCCTTCACCGTGACTCCTGGATACGTGGCGAAAGTTGCTCAGCGGACACAGGTCATCGCTCCAACTGTCGCCAGATGGGCCTACGGCCCAAAGTGTATCGCGGTCTATTTGAACAAAGATGGTGAATCTGTCTGGCTCAATTCTGGATGGTGGCTCAATTACGGGTACAACAGTAGTGAAACTCTCAGGAACCTTGTGAAAAGCTTTGCGAAACAGAATCTGCGGCTTTGTCTCTGCGATGACAATGCGTCGCACGCCGAGCTCCAAGCCTTCATGCACTGGGTGATTCACGATCGCCGTGTCCAAGTGTGCAAAGATGGAAATCTCTCTCACGACCTCTCAGGTAACTTTCACTGTTGGATCAGTTTCACGCAGATGTGCGGCACTTGCCAGCGATTCTTCGAAAGAGTTGCATCTATGTACCCAACCATTCGTGTGTCGATAGAGCGTCGAGTGGCTGGTCGTTGGCAGCCTGGCGCACCCCAAATGTGATCGGCAAGGACAAAGCTAAGTTGTAGCATTGGGTCTCAAACGGTAGGGGTTGGGAGACGGATCGTGGAGGGCAAACTCGGCTTTGCAAACAACATGCAAGGTAGTAAATACAGCCGTATTTCCACTTTCGACATCGATCCCAGGACACATACCGCGGGACACCAAGACCCCAGGACCCCAGAACAAAGCTAAGTTGTAGCATTGGGTCTCAAACGGTAGGGGTTGGGAGACGGATCGTGATTCCTATTTTGATTTATCACACGGTGTGTGGCCGAACGTGCAACGTCTACGGCTTTAACATTAAGCCGTTTCGCCGGCAGAAAAAGTCAGAAAACATAATTATACGCAGTGGACAGTGCATTGCTCGACTGCTGTGCCGACTGCCGTGTCGCGTGTGGCTCATCACACATCAGGAGCGGCTCTGTCCACAGCCGTACAAGTGCAAGTGGCTCTTTCAACTATCTTTTTACACACAAGATCCCGAAATGTGGACGAACGCGTAACGGCGAACGGCGCGAGGCCTCCGGCGGCACGCGCGGCTCATGGCGCGGCTTTGCCAAATGGAACACGCCCCATCACGCGACCACGTAGAGGGAGGAGGAGTGCGCTGAGGGTGGTACATTATAGATCCTGTGGCATGAGACTGTCCCGCTCGCCATGCGCCCGCGGCTGTGGTGTGGCGATTGAGTGAACGCACGAGAGAGGGGTGGAACGAGCCGTAACCCAATCCCAAGCCTAACCCAGACTAACCCGAGACTAACCCGAGACTAACCCGAGACTAACCCGGCGCTACCCCGCGCTGCTCCGGGGCATACGTTAGGATGGGTTAGTGTCGGGTTAGTGCCGGGTTAGCGTCGGTTATGGTAACCCGTTCTAACCCGTGCTGACCCGTGCTGGGTGGGACCCAGGGCTAACCCGCGCTTACTGAAAGACTGGTTCGTGTGTGCCGTGTGCGGGGGCCCTCCCTTGTCACACAGTGTGAGGTAACACCTACCTACCTACTACCACGGGGCCAAGGCGCAGCACCTGGCAGACGGAGTCGGGACGCTCCCGCACGCGTGCGGCGGGAGCGCCCCACGTGGATCGATCCAAGCTTGGGGGTAGGAGGAGCCAGGGCCACCAGACAGTCGAGCGTAGAGAACAGCTGACGTGTCGTGGTGCCCGATTACTCCAACTTGGGCTGGCGGCATCCTCGACCCGCTCTGTGTTCATCCAGCGGGTTTACCTGGAGACGCCAACCCAGCCTTACGGCCGCTCGAGATCGACTTCTGCCTTAGGGCGATTGACTCCGTGAGTGTTGACCTCTGGAGCAGACCGATCAGAGAGCGGCCCGCGGGGCGCGATTTGACTGGTGGCTAGAGCAGCACCAAGGTGGTCATGGGTGCCAATTCCAGTGTCAAGAGGTAGGCTTCCCGCACCAGTGCAGGTAGTGACACGAGAGGGCTCCAACAGCAGGCGGTTAGAAGACGAGACTACTGCAGCCGAGCCCTCCGTCGCCTCCCCCGGGTCTTTGCGTGCCGATGCTGGGCGGCTCCGGGCTGTACAGGGGAGGGGGATACTGGTCACCATGGGGAAATGGTGGCAACTGTCAGATTTTCATTTCAAGGCTCGAGGCCGGGGGTACCTACCTATTGCAGGGCCCTCTCTTTTGGGCCAAACAAGACCAACCTACCTACGGCTTTACCTAATCTGCGAGTCTAAATAAATAAATAAAACGGACACCTCTACTAGGAGATGGGTAAAAAGGAACAGGTCCCCCCTGCGGTCTTTGTGCAGGGTTCTTTGTGGGTGTGGTCGGCGGCTAGCCGGGGTCGTCCTCCCGATGGGGGACTAGCACTAGCCGTCTTCCACATGGTCCCTCGGTCTGGGAGGGGCCAGCCAAAAAAAAACTGTTCAGTTTTCAAAGGCAAAAACGCCGGCGTACGCCCTCCCCTCACACTGACACTTCTCCCCTATTCCCAACTTTAGGTTGCGCACGTCTCCCAGCGAGCTAGGATCTCCGCTTTTTCTCCCCTAGTCATCCGCCCGCGCCGCGCGCCTCTATGGGCGTCTAGTGCAGCCACTGACAGAACTATTCCCGAGGAATGGTCGACGTCTCGCCTGAAGTCGGGTGGGCTCGCGCACTGCTTAGCCCTAGGGGAGGTGTGTGTGTGAGGTGGTGGAATGGTAAGGTTTCAGGCCACAGGGGTGGGGGATTTGGGGGATGAGTCAGGAGCCAGCAGCCTTCCTACTGGACCTGAGTTCTCAGCTCTTCCGCCCGACGGGGTGGTCCCTTGGATTCGGGCCCCGCTCCCTTTTCCTGCGCCTGGTCTGTCCCTGTCATGAGTGTGTTGCGAGATGCAGAGCGGTTAGCTGGAGCACAGAGCTGGAGCACTGTCTGGTTAGGCTGGAGAGCTGTTAGGTACTGTTAGGCTGGGGCACAGAGCTGGTTGGGCTGGAGCACAGAGCTGGTTAGGCTGCTGGTTAGGCTGGGGCACAGGGCTGGTTAGGCTGGAGCTGTTGGAGCACAAAGCTGGTTAGGCTGGAGCGCGGGCGGTGCGGCGGCCGGCGAGGGCAGCGCGGTAGGCGAGAGGCGGCCGCGGGGCGTCGAGTGGCGCGATAGGAGGGTAGACTGGCCGTGGGGGGGCGCCGCGTGACCTCGCAAATAAGTGATAAATATTGGTTTATGAGGGGCCAGTTTGTACGCATTGGCAAATCGAGCCTGGGGCGTGGCCTAGTTGGTGCAGCGTTCGGGTCGGGGACGTTTTGGTCGTTGGTTCGAGCCCAGCTGGTGCAGTTCGTAGTCGCGCAGCGACGCGGGCGTGCGGGTGCGCGGCAGCCTCGGCAACCGAGGCGACAGTGGCGAGCAGGGGCGAGCAGGGGCGAGCAGGGGTCAAAGCAGTGCGGCGCGCCGGATTTTTTCGATGGGCTCGGTCCGTGGGCGTGTCAGGAGGCGGCCGGCTGGGAGAAACTTGCGAAAAACTCCCAGGCCGGCCCAGGTGGTGGGTGTGTCACGGAGGCGGCCATTGGCACGCGCTCCTTAGTAACCGGGGTCAAGTTTTTTTGGGAGGGGCCAGCCAGTGTCAACAGACGTCAGACCCCCTATCCGGCTTGCAGCCGGAACCCAGAGGAGGCTCGGGAAAAGAATTTTACATGCAATTCGGTACCGCTAGTAAGAGTCCCGCACTGGCACTAACACGGGTACACCTCTTTTAACCTATCTCTGGACTCCGCGGGCAGGTTCAGACGGGCCTTTCCCTCTACCTCTGCGACGCCAGCCCTACCTCTATCCCTCACCCGGCCCTCCGAGCCGATATTTCAGTCATCGCAACACCTTCATCCCACAACCACCTCCACATCCCCCGCCTCCTGATCGACGCTGGTCAGCTGCGCAGCTTGGTCGCCCGGGGCCGCGAGGAGGAACGAGCCCACGACGCCAAACTCTGGAATCGAGCCGAACGGCAGCCTACGACACAGCGAGGGGGCGAGTCAGCGCGGGCGACCGGGAGCTTCGGGGAGAGCAGTGCCACTGGGGAGAGGCTGCCTGCCCGCGTTCTCGAAAGGGTTGAATCTCTTTCCCGACACGGCCCGCTGCACAGACAGCTGGCCAGCAGCGCTCAGCGTGACTGCACCTAGCGCCGGCGCCTCGAGCGTGGCCTGGCCTGGCTTTGGAAGCGCGCGCTCCAGCTTGGCGAGGCGCGAGTCGATGGCGGAACGCTTGCCGCGATCGCTCTCGCCCGCCCGCTCTCTGCGCAGCCGCTCCGCCAAGGGCATCAGCCGCTGCAGCTCAGCGCTCCTCCACGCCTGCGTCGAGCAGTAGAGGCGCGTACCGGCAGGAAGGCCTGCGTCCGAAGTGGTCGGAGCGCCTAGCGACTCATTACTGATCATAATTCATCGTTCATCATGGCCGGACCGCCCGTGCAGCAAGTTGGCCGTGGCGCCTTCGGCGGAGGAGCAGACGCCGTCCGGTAGGTCGATGCACCACACGACGAGCGCCTCGATGCTGGAGAGCTGGAGCATGCCCCACGCGACGCCGCTCGCCTTGGTGCCGAGCCGCTCCGACCGCGTGAAGAGGCGCCGAGCCTGCGTTCGACGGAGCGGCTCGTCGCTCATGGGCTGCCGCAGAGGCTCGTCGAAGAACTCGATGGTGAGAGGAAAGCTCAGCCGGGAGCCCGAGCCCGCCCACTCGCGCCCCAGCCACGCAGGAGGCTGTGGCCGGCCACCGCCCGGGGTGAACATGGCGAGCGGCGGTCCGAGCAGTGCTGCAGCGTCGGCCGAGGAGGGCCGGCCGATGCTCAGTGAGAGCTGCCACGCCGTGTCGACGAGCGAGAGGCACAGGAAGGGTGGGAGGAGCATGTCCGGTGAGCAAGACTCTATCACTTCTGCTCTGGGAAAGCTCGCGCGCGAGCGCGCCCCACACTCCTGTGGCTGTCGGCCGGGCTGAATGAGGGCTGAGAAAAATGCACGGGCCCTCAGCGGAGCTGGGAAGAGGACCGCCGCAAGCGGCGTGGCGCGGGTCGGTTGTGCATCCCTCCGGGGGCCCCTCTGCGCCGGGGAGGCGTTGTTGGAGGCTAGGACGCAAGCGTCCGTCGCCCTTTTCAAACTCGGGGCCCACTCCGCTACGGCCTACGCTCCGACCCGAATTTGGAGGGCCTGAAAAGTTTAAGGTGTTGCTGCGCAAAAGGGGTCGGACACAGGGCGCAGCTCATGCTAAGAGCTAGAAGGGGAGCTAGAGAGAACGACTACCCTGTCCCGTTATTGCGTACACCAACACCACAAAGCTCTCTCTCTCCTGTCCTCACTCACTCCAGGGGGGTCACAACTACTGAGTCCCTCGAGTTGCCGACCGAGATGATATGGTGTGGCTCGCCGCTCTCGAGCCAGCCGAGCAGATGGAAGTGAATCTGCCCCCTCCCCGCCGCTCCCTGGTCCCGGAAGCGACGGGCCCAAGCAAACTCCATCACGTAGTAAAACACACTGATGCCGAGCGCCGGTACGAGCACCTCCTCAATGTAGGTCTTGGCACGCTGTTCAAAGTACAGCAAGCGGATCTCCTCCTGCTCCGCAAGGAGGGTGGCAAAGGTGTGACGAGTCCCAGCGCTGGCTGTGCAGCGACCGACCGGGCAGGCGGCGGCGGCGCGGACCGTGAGGTTGTACTTGAGGCTGCCGCCGGTGGCTTCGGTGAGGACCGCCTTTGGAGGTAGGGAGGGGGCGGTGGCGGTGAGGGAGGCTGCGGTGAGGGGCGGTGGCGGTGAGGGAGGCTGCGGTGAGGGGCGGTGGCGGTGAGGGAGGCTGCGGTGAGGGGCGGTGGCGGTGAGGGAGGCTGCGGTGAGGGTAGCGGTGATGGCGAAGGGAGGGGAGTGGCGAGTGGAGAGGTGGCGGGGCGGGGAGAGGCCAGAAGGCGAGGGGGAGGGTGGGAGGCGGCAGGGAGGGAGAGGCGGTAGGCGAGGCGGGCGGCGGGGCGGTCGGCAGGCTGCAGGGAGAGGCGAGGGGGTGTCTTGTCCGTGTGTCCCTGTCGCCATGTGTGCCGCCAGCATCTGTCCTGCGTCCACCCCGCGCCGGTGAGCCCGTCGAGTCTATCTATCGCAGGACACGCGCCTTTGGGATGGACTTGTCGCAGACGAAGCGGACGACCATCGAGCGGCCCGCCGCGCCCCCCGGGCTCGATCCGAATCCGCAGCGTGTCGTCCCCAGCGGCGGTGCTGCGCGGGAGGCGGCCGCGGGCACGCTGGGCTCGATCAGCGGCTTCCCTCAGTTGCTCCGTCCGAAAGCACGGATTCGGCGGCCGTTCGTGGCTTCAATTTTACGGATGTCTTGGCACCAGCTGAAGGCTTGCCCGGCCGACATCGCCGGATTCGTGCACGGTATTCGGATTTTGGCTATTTGCTCGTGTGGGGGTATATCGCAGATTTGTCAATGGTACCGCGTCTGCGACGCGGGCGCCTTGCGGGCAGAGCCCTTAGCCACCCTTTTATCTTGCGCGGTCAAAACGGAAAAAGAATTCACCACTACGGACAGCCGGCGACGGACCTTTAGAAAAGAAATAAATAAATAAAAGAGACAACCCAAGGTCTAATTCAGCCGAATTCGCAACCCCTACGCGGGATTCTCTCGTGGTCACTTGCGCCGGCGCAAGTGACCACGCACGAGTCAAAGTGGGACGCGGCCGCGCCCTTTGGAGGGCGGCTGACTGCGCGTCAACGATGGATGCGCGGCTAACGCGTGCCTCGGCGCGGAGAGAGCACAGCACTGGCGTCGAGACCGCTGCAGACGGTGGCGTGGACGCGACGATGGCAGGCAGCAGCGCGGACGTGACGATGGCAAGCAACGCCGCATCTTCGTCGATACGTCTATCGGCATAGGTAGTATCCGTCGTTCTCGCCTCCCTAGACAGAACTGGACCCGCGCTCGCTCTCTCGTGTGAGATGGGTAAAATCACCGGTAAGCGGTAAAATTTCACCGTGCGCTCTTTGCTTTCTCTTCTACTCCCTACTATCATCTCGTCCCCGTCCTACCACGTAGAGACACTTCTCGGCTCGGCTCTAAAAAACAAATCCCGCTCGTTGGAAAAACTCTACAGCCCCTTCCCCTCCCCTTTACCCGTCGCCAGCACCTCGCACACCACATCCAAGCCGCCGCCGCCCTCCTCCTTCCGCACCGACACCACCGAGGCGTAGCGGAGGGGCTCGCCCGTCCCGGCGAGCACGAGCCGCCCGCCCGCCAGCCACTTTTCGACGGCGACCGCCAGCCTCGGCGCCCAGCCTCCGGCGCGCCCTCCTGCCGCCATCGCCTCCCAGTCGAGCCCGCGCAGCACCTCGTTGAAGACGAGCGTCTCGCCGACCGCCTGCTCCCACCCGTCGTACGCCACCTCCCCTGCACCCGCCGCCGGCCGCCGCCCCTCGAGCCCCGCCGCCGGCACGACCACCTGGCCGGGCTGCGGAGGCGCGCGTGCGCCGAGCACAAGCCGCGTGTCGCCGTCGACCAGGCGAGCAAAGAGGGATCGCCACTGCGGGCCCGACCAGGCGAAGAGCGCGAACGGCGTCAGCGGCCAGTCCTCGGCAACCAGCCTCCGCCGGACGAGGAGCGGCGCCGCGGAGGCGGCGCACACGGCGATCGCGCACCACCAGCCGGGCGAGCCGAGGGGGACGGACGAGCCAAATCCGAGGCAGTAGGTGCCCAGGTTTGGCAGAAAGTAGAGCCCGATGTCCAGGCTCTGCACCGCCGCGATGCCGACGTGCAGCATGCACGACACCGCCGCGAGGAGCGGCCGCAGCGCGAGCGGCAGCAGCAGCGCGGCGGGCACCAGCGCGCACTCAAAGACGAGCGTGAAGGCGGAGAGGGTGGCGACGAGGAGCGGGTGGCGCACGAGCAGAGCGCTCGCCCGCGGGAGCAGCGGCCCGCCCTCGCGGATGGGCAGCGAGTTGTACTGCCGCAGGATGGACGCGAGGGTGGAGGGCTCGGCCCAGGCAGCAGCGCCGCCCGCGACGTGTAGCTTGGCAAAGCCGCTCGAGGCCACAAAGTGGACGCACACGCCGAGAGCGACGCCATGCGCGAGGTGCGCGGGCAGCAGAGCAAGCGCCCAGGCAGAGTACAGAGACGCGTGGTCTCGGTGCGAGTGGGTGCAGGAGGTCTCTGCGAGGACGTAGAGTGAGTGCCACGCGGCAGCACCGAGGCGAACCATCCACACGTCGGGCCAGGCGGCCGCGGTGATCATCGTCAGCGGACCGGCGCGGCACAGCGTGTAGTACATCGGCCGCCGTCGCAGAGCGAGCACGGCGGACGCCGGAAGCCACGAAGGGCAAGTCACGATGGGCGCATCATCCGTTCTGGCGTAGCCGACGTGCCACCAGCGCAGCCAGAGCAGCATGTTGATGAGAGCCGTCGTGAGGTAGAAGACGCGCAGCATGGTGAGCGGGAAGCGGCGACCATGGCGTGTGTGTGTGTGTGTGTGTGTGGGAGCGCACGAATTCTTTTCCGTAAAATTCTTTTGCGTTCGAACCTGTCAACCATTGAAGAGAGAGTGCCTTTTGGGAAGAGCCGTCGCCCCATGCATGCGGAGGGGGCGCCCGTTTTCTTGTTGTTCCGTTGTCGATTGATAGAGAGATTTTTGAGAACCAACAACAAATCACGACTGAAAGAAAGAAAAACACAGAAACAAGGGAGGGTAACAAATCACAGAAAGAAAGAAAGAAAGAAAACAGACAATCCAAGGGAGGGATGGGAGGACGGCACGCCGCCACCACACAGGGAGAGATTTTAGGTAACAAATCAAAAAGAAAGAAAGAAAACGTACAACCCGGCTCACGCGCCTCGAGCTGACCATCTACCGCACTGATCACTTCCGCCCCCTCGCTCCCAACCCATCCACCTCGCCTCGGGCCGCAGAAAGAAAGAAAACAGACACCAAACGAGGGATGGGACGAGGACAGGGTCCCCACCTGCACGAGCAGGATTTTGGAAGAACGATCAGGGGGACAGGTGGGGCTCTCCTGCTCCTGACAAGGGACACGACAGGCTCGCAGCGCGGTGCGCGGTGGACTCCCACATCCACTGGCGGTCTCATCTCAGTCTAGCGACCTGCCTCCAGCTTGTCGCTGGCAGTCTCTCCTACCACAGGCACACTGACACAGGGGTGGCAGGGGCGGCGGCACGAGTCTCCCACATACTATGCGGGCCTCACTAGAGGTGCGGCCTGTGCGTGTCCTCGCCCTTGAGGGGGGAGGGGAAGGGGCTGTGTGTCTTTGCATGTGTGTGTGTGTGTGTGTGTGTGTGTGTGTGTGTGTGTGTGTGTGTGTGTGTGTGTGTGTGTGTGTGTGTGTGTGTGTGTGTGTGTGTGTGTGTGTGTGTGTGTGTGTGTGTGTGCGTGTGCGTGTGCGTGTGCGTGTGCGAGCCGCCCTGAACGCCACGAGCGCGCCGCGAGCGCCGTAGCGCCGGCGAGCGCCGTCGGCAGCGCGCGACCGCCATCCAAAAGCGGAAAAGAGCGGGCTGCGCCGCACGAAGGATAAAATTCTTTTGCCCTCCCGCCAACATCAGTGCCTTGCCAAGACTGGCGCGCCCTCCCGCACTCGAACAAGATGGAGCGGCGGAGCCGCCTCTCTCTAAAGGCCGTAGCCGCCTTGCCGCCGGCCGAGTCGCCCGCCGAGCCGCTGCCCGCCGCTCCTCCTGCCGCCGCTGCCGCCGCCACGCTTCTCAACCTCGGACAGAGCTGCTTTCTTAACGCGGTCCTGCAGGCGGTTCGCAGCGTGGCGGGGCTCCGTGGTGATCTCGAGCGGGCGCTCGCTGAGGGCGCCATCCGCGGCGGCGTCACCGACAGCCTCGCCGCGCTTCTCTCCGCCATGGCCACCGCCGAAGCCGAGCGCGGCGCGCCTTCCTCGGCGCCGCTCTCTCCCGCCGTGCTGCTCCAGCGCCTGCGCGCTCGCCACTCAGCGCTGCGGCCGGTCAACGTCCAGCACTGCGCGCTCGAGACTCTGAGCTGCCTCTTTGCGTCGCTCGAGGCCGAGATGGGCCGCCCGCCGGCCGGGTGGGGGGAGGGGCTGCTGTGCCACGCTACACGCTGCCTGACATGCGACAACGTGTCACGCCACCGCGAGCCCTTCCTGCACCTGTCCCTCTCCGCTGCGCCCGCACGCCTCGGCGCGCGCCGCCCGCCTCGCTGCAGCATCGAGGACGCCCTCTCCGCGCCGCAGCAGCTCGTCGCTACGCTGCGCGGGGCGGACAAGTACGCGTGCGGCGAGTGCTGCGCGCTCTGCGACGCGAACCGGACCACCAGCCACGTGCGGGCGGCCCGGGTCCTCGTCCTCCACCTTCGGCCCGGCCGGTGCGAGCGTGCCGCCCTGCGAGGGCTGGAGGGCGGGGAGGCGGGGCGGGCGCAGGGGGCGGAGGGAGGGGCGGAGGGAGGGGCGGGGCAGTGGGCCGGGTGGGCGCCGGTGCTGCGGCTGCCGCTCGAGCACGAGGAGGGCGGCGTGGCGGAGGAGGGCGGGGTGGCGGAGGAGGGCGGCGTGGCGGGCGGGCAAGCGGGCCGAGGGTTCGCCTCGTACGAGCTCGTGTCGCTGATTGTTCACCGCGGGGCCTCCGGCAGGGGGCACTACGTGGCGTACACACGCACGCACGCCCCGCAGCGGCAGCAGAGCCGCGAGGCGCGGGAGGAGGCCGAGCCAGCAGCCAAGGCTTGGGCCCCCGCCGCGGCCGCCAAGACGCCCGCCGCGGCTCGGACTCCCGCCGCCGCCGCCGCCGCCGCGGCGGCGGCGGCGGCCCAGACGCCTCGGGCGACGAGGTCCTCGGCGCGCGAGAAGGGCAAGCGTGGCCGCTCTTCGGACCCGCCCCCGACGCGGCGGCAGACCCGCTCCGCCACCCGCTCCGCCTCGCTGGCGGCGCGCGTCCGCCCTGCCGCCGGCCCGCAGCGGCGCGCCACGCCGGCGGAGGGCCGCGCGAGCCAGAGGCGGGGCAAGCGAGGAGCTGCCCGGCAGCGAGAGCCGCCACCGTCGCCGCCGCCGTCGCCGCCGCCGTCCTCAACGCCGCCCTCAATGCCGCCCCAGGCCGACGCTTCTCCTCTACGCGCCGGTGCTGCCCATGTGGACGGCTGGACACTCTTCGACGACGAGACTGCGGAACAGCTCTCAGAGGCGGAGGTGCGCGCCCGCCTCGGCTGCGGCGATGCGCCGTCCATCCTGTTCTACTGCCGGCGCGATGATTGGATCAGCGCACGGTGACACTCGTACAATAATTTCTGTAAAGAAAAATGGAGATTTGCGAAACACTGTAATCCTTGAATCTGTCGAACCGAGAGGATCGACGTGTACTACGCGGCTCGCCCCCCACACGTCAGACAGTGAGAGCCTCTCGCGTGCCGTCTCTCGTGCCCCACAGCCCCCACACACTCTTTCTGGCTGCGGTGGAGGTTTCAGAGAGCTCCTGCTTGTACTTTCAACGGGACGGGGAGCCCAGGCGCCTAGCGGCATGGCTACTAGCGCCAATGCTCAGCCCGATCCCCACCCCGAGCCCGAGTCCCATCCCCCATGCGATCACCCGCTCGATGATGCTCTCCTCGCAGGGGAACGACTGCAGTCTCGGAACTACCCACGAACCCGAGCCAGCGTGAGTGGCCGCCCGGGTGATGGCGTCGTCGGCGGGAAGTCTAAGCCGGGCGATCAGCGGGGCGAGTAGCGCGGCGATCCTCGCGCACCTCGCCTCCCGCTCGGACTCGGACCACTCGCTGCGGAGAGCGCACTCCAGAGCCGTAGGGACGAAGCGCGATTGGCACCATTCCATGCGCTGCTGCTGCTCGCCCCCGTCCCCGCACCACCGCCTGAACTCAAAGTCGGGCGGCACGACAGTGCGTGATTCCTCCGGCGACAAGAGCGTCGGAATAGAGGTGAAGTGGCTGTGCGAGCCGACGAGCACGTCGCTCAGACTCATGCATCGGAGGGTTGCCATCGGATGGGTGTTCAGGAAGAAGCGCACTGTGACATTCGCTGCGCTCTTGACCGAGGTACGCAGCCGGGGTCGAGAGGAGGTGGGATCCAGCTCAATCATGTCCGATCTGAGGCGTCCGTGATAGTACGGCAGCGAGCCTCGGCGGGGGTTGTGTCTCTGCATATCTTGCTGACAGAGGTGCACCTGCACCCCTCCCGCCCGAGTCAGCAACGCCCGCTCGCTCCTCGCCACTCCAGCGCCCCTATCGCTGATCACCAACAACAAAAACAAATCTCTCTCACTCCCAAACAACAACACTAAAAATCTCCCCTATCCCTCGTTTGGGCTCTCTGTTTTCTTGCTTTCTCTCCCTTCTTTTTTATCTCTCTCTGTGATCACCGTTCTCATCGCCTCGTCTTTGCGCTGACGCAGGCCCTCCTTCGTGCTGCGAGGCTTGCGCGTAGCCCACACTGGTATTTTAAAGCGGTCCAGAAAATTCTTTTCTGTCATCGCGTTCTAGAGTGCAGCGCGCGCCATTTCTCAGCCAGCCCGCCGTCACCATGGTGCGTCTGACCCACGCTGATCGCCCAGCACGCCCGCACGCGCGCGCTCGCGGCGCGATGCGATGCCCAGCGGCGCGAAGACCCCAAGGCCTTGGGACCGCTCGCCGGCGACTGATGTGCTGCCTCTCTCGCTGCAGCTCTTCTTCAGCTTCTTCAAGACCCTCGTGGGCAAGGAGGTGGTGGTCGAGCTGAAGAATGGCGCCCGCTCGTCCCGCCGGCCCGACCGATCACTGCGGCAGCTCACTCGGGCGCGCTCGCCCTGCAGATCTGGCCATTCGCGGAACGCTGCACTCGGTCGACCAGTTCCTCAACGTCAAGCTGCTCCAGGTGACGGTCGACGACCGCGAGAACTTTCCGCACATGGTGTGTGCCCGGCCGCCGCACCTCACGCTCCCCACTCCGCTCGCCCCCTTCCTCGCATCAACCTCTCCTGGAGCGCCACCCGCATCGCCGCGCAGCAATCCGTCAAGACGTGCTTTATCCGCGGCTCGGTGATCAAGTACGTGCAGCTGCCTGCTTCCGAGGTGGACACTGAGCTGCTGCAGGACGCGACGAGAAGGGAAATGGCGCAGCAGAAACAAAACTAGCGTGCGGAGGCCGGAGCTGAGAGATGTGGCGGCGGGGGAGACGCGGTCGCGGAGAGAGAGGCCCCCGTCGGGCGGTACTGGTACACGCATGTGGCTCTAATGTCTAATGTAAACGACAACATGCATGGCACCGTATAACTTAGTATTAGACATGGAGAGTACGAACGCACTTATGAGAGCGACCGAGGCGCTCCCGGTGCGGCAGTGAGCTGGCAGCGAGGCCCATGGTAGACAGGTCTACAGCGCGCGGGTGGGTCGAGCGTCGTTCCTCTGGCAGGCGCCCTCCGCAGCGTGGTCAGGCCGACCCTGCCAGCAGGGCACGGAGCCCCTTGATGGAGCGACACTGCTTGCCGCCGGCCCTTGTGGCGGCGAAGTCTCCGGCTACCCCGGAGCCAGACACTTTCGCCCGCACCTTCCACTTGATCTCCCACTCGCCCACGGTCGTCGTCGCATCTTCGTTCGCAGCTTTGAGCCGTCCGATCTCCGCCTCCAGAGCTGCAAGTGTCTCCTCCTCTGCCGGCGCGAGCACCACCGCGCCGTTGCTGCTCGCCACGCTGCCCGCGCGCTTGCGCTTTGTGCCCTTGGTCGCCTTGCCGCCAATCAGGCCCGTCAGCTGGCTGCGGATCCTGCCCATCTCCCCCGCCATCTTTGGACTGATCTCCTCGATCGTCTTGCACATCTCGTACACGTCGCGCGCCGACGCCGCGTTCTGATCCCACATCTTCTCTGCGCGCGCCTTGTCGTCGCCGCCGCCGTGCTGGCACATAAGCATGCTCAGCCCGTGCTGGCCGAGGTAGGTGTGCGTGCTATGAAGCATGGCCGTGATCTGCTGCGATCGGCCAGGCGGCATTCGACTCAGCCGACACTGCTCGCGGCGTTTTTCTTTTCCTCTTTGAGGACGAATCCTCGTGAAACCTCCTCGAGGTGCGCGCGCGACCGACCGACCCAGCAGCAGCGGCGCGATCACTTCGAACAGAAACACCCAAGCGCCAAGGATTTCGACTACAGCCCGCACTCGGTACTCCCTGCGCCTACTTGCGCCTCACGTACTCCGCGCTACACTCTCTCACTACGCTATTACGCTCTCCCCCGCTACGCCGCGCTCCGCCGGACCAGCACAACTCAGACACTCGACACGCGCCCACCGGACCAGCAGAACCAAGTCACACGCCCCCCCACTTCACCGCCCCCCCGCCCCCCTCGCCCGCGTCGCCGCCTCGCGCGCCTTGCGCTCACGGTAGACCTGCCGCAGGATCGCGCACAGATGCTCGTGCTGCGGCAGCGTCCCCGCCGCCGAGCTCGCCTCGCGAAGCGACGTGTTGTGCAGCTCCTGCGCCGCCTCGGCCTGCTTGCTCACCAGCGCGCGAAACTGCCGCTGCACGCGCCGGATCAACTCGAGCTGCGCCGGCGTGTAGCCGCACTCATCGCCCGAAGCCGCCGCCCCCGCCGCCCCGCCCGCCGCCCCTGCCCCGACGACCGCCTCCGCCACCCCCGCCGCCGGCTGGAGCTGCGGCCGCGCCAAGTATTGCTGGATGCACCGCGCCGCGCACGCGCGCCGCTCGGCGTGGTACGAGTGGAGCGCCGCGTCCGGCCCGCCCTCGGACGACCCCTCCGCCGCCAGCCGCGCGCGCTCTGCGTGGTACTTCCACTCCGAGTAGGTCCTCTCGATGACTCGCACCGCCGAGCGGCGGAGCTGCCGCGCGCGCGCCTCGGCCGTCAGCGGCGGGCTCGAGCAAGCGCCGGCCGGGAGGGAGAGCGGCGGTGGGCGCGCCTCCTCGCACAGGGGCGGCAGGGCCGAAGACGGGCCGCAAACCCCTGCCGCCGCCGCCGCGGGGCTCGCCGGCACCGCGAGCCGGCCCAGCAGCACGGTGTCGCGCTCAAACAAGTGCGCCGCCTCGTCCGCCGACGCGCTCAGCTCGCGCGCGGGGCTGCGCCGCCGCTTCCGGTAGAAGCGCTCGATGGCGAGCGCGGCGCGTTGGCGCGAGTCCGCCTGCTTGCGCGTGCGGAAGCGGACCTGCGCCCCCTTGAGGACGCCGAGGCTGCACGCGCTCCAGTCCGCGCCCGCCTCGGCGCCAGCCGTCGGCCGCCTCCCTCCTCCTCCTCCGCCGGCGCCGCCGCCCGCGTAGGGGTGGTGGTGGTGCCGATGCCGGTGCTCCCGATGCTGCAGCGCCACCCGCAGCGAGCGCTGCAGCCGCGCCAGCCGTGCCGCCCGCTCGCGCGACTCGGCGGCGGCGGCGGGCGAGAGGGCGGAGGCGGGCGACAGCCCGCGAGGCGACTCGGCCGCAGAGGGCGGAGGCAGCGGCAGTGGCGAGCTCAGGGCGTCGGGCGGCGAGAACGCGCTCGGCGGCGGAGGGGCGCGCTGCGCGGACGGCGCCTCCCGCGGCTGCAGTGCGCGTCGGAGCACAAACGGCGACTCGGGCGCTTGGAGCAGGGAGGGCGGGAGCGGCTCGGCGCCGGCGGCGGGCGAGGCGGCGGGAGGGGCGGCGCAGTGCGGGGAAGCGGCGGAGCTGGCGGCGGTCGGCTCCGGCCGGCAAGAGGCACCCCCCTGGTCCATCCACTCAGCATGCGCGGCGGCGGCCGCGCCCGCGTCGCCCCGGTCGCCGGTGCTGGACCGCGGCTCGAGGGTGAGGAAGAGCTCGCGGAACTGTCGCTCGAGGCCAACCTCGGGCTCCGCGGTGAGGGAGACGGCCATCGCAAACGCCTCGGACGGAGCCTCAAAGACGCCTCCGTCGGGCGACTCGGACGGGCGCGGCGAGCCGCCACACGCCGCCCCCGCAGCCGCCCGGGGCGACAGGAGCGGCGGCGGAGCGAGGGCGCGCGGCGGCGCCGCCGGAGGGAGCAGGTCCGACGACGCCGCGAAGAAGCCGCCCATCCCCGGCGCGGTCGTAGTCGCGTACGGAGAGGCGCGCGCGCGAGGGGAGGACCACGGGGAGGCGTCGTCCGCCGAGGAGGCCGCCGCCGCCGCCGCCGCCGCCTTCTCCGCCTCGAGCTGCCGCACGCGCGCCTCGAGCTCTGCGATGCGAGCCTAATTAATTGGTGAATTCGTCAGTTCATTCGTTAATTTAGCGCCTCGAGCTCTGCGGTGCGCGCCGCGGCGGCGGCGGCGGCGGCGGCGGCGGCCTCCTTCTCCGCCTCGAGCTGGCGCACGCGCGCCTCGAGCGGCGCCGTGTCGGGCGGGCTCGCGTGCGCGGGGCCGAGCTCCATCGGCGTGGCCGGCTCGGCCTGCTGAGGAGGCCGCAGGTAGTGCACGAGGTGGAGGTCTCTGTCCAGCTCCCCTCGGCCCGCGAGGCGCGAGTAGATGCGTCGGTGGAGGGAGCCGTCCTCCGCCTGCGAGTAGCGGGCGTTGATCGCGGGGACGCCGTCAATCTTGTAGCGCTCGTGCGACTCGCAGAGCACCCGCCCGCCGCTCGACGTGTCGCGCATGCGGTAGGCGAGGGAGTCGTTGCGGAAGCGCGCGTGCTGCGACTTGTCGACCAGAAAGAGGGTGCCGCTGACGGGCGCGAGGCTGGCGAGGGCGTCGGCGTCGGCGAGGGCCAGGCCGTACGCGCGCGGCTGCAGGAGAAGGTCGTGCACCTGCGCAGGGGGCGCGCCGTCAGAGGGCGGCGGCGGGGCGGCGGGGGGACGGGCGCCGGAGCGGGGAGGGAGAGGGAGCGAGGGAGGCGCGGCGGCCGCCTCCTCCTTCCGAAGCCAGCGGCGGGAGCACTCGGCCCGCAGCTCCTCCGGGCTGGCGAAGAGCGGCGGCGGCGGCGGCGGCTCGGCCTTGGCGAAGGGCCCGGTCACGCCCATTGAGTCGTCGCTGTCGCCGCCGCCGTCTACCGCCGCACCGGCGGCGGCCTCGCCCGTGCCGTCCAGGCCGCCGATCAGCCTGCTCCACTGCTGCCCCGAGGCGGTGGGGTCATCCTCCTGCAGGAGCGAGTTGAGCGCCGACGAGAGGCTCCGCTCCTCCGCCGCCCGCCGCCGGAAGTAGCGGCTCTTGACGGCCGCCTCGGTCCGGCCGGGAAGCCGCTGCGCGATGAGGCCCCACTTGGGGCCGAGCTCGTCGAAGGCGGCCAGGACGGCCGCGTCCTCCGCCGCCGAAAACCTGCGCTGCGTCGGCCCCGCAGGCATGAGGATGGGGAGGGTCGACGGAGCGGTCATCGGGACCAAGCGTCACAGTCGGCCAAGGGTGCGAGTCGGCGCCTACTCGAGTAAGAAGAATTCTTAAGATACAAGCCTCTCTCACAGCACACTGGCACGACAAGGGCGCAGACTGGCGCGGACTGGCACACACACAGGCTCACCGAGTAAGAAGAATGGCAGTCGAGTGAAAAAAGCTTGGCGCGTGTCAAGAGAACGACGCGACAGAAGAGGAAATGACAAGGGAGAGGACGACGAGAGTGAGACGACCGCGAGGTGGCATGAAGGTTGCAGCGAGAAGCGGCGAGAGACTGCGAAGAGAGATAGGAAGAGGCAGACTCCCTAGGGTGGGTGACGGCTAGCGCACCACACACCTCTCCTTAAAATCCCTGTGTGGTGGCGGCGTGCCGTCCTCCCATCCATCCCTTGGGTTCTCCGATTTCTTTCTTTCTTTCTTTGGCGCGTGTCCCTGATCGTCCTTACAAGATCCTGCTCGTGCAGGTGGGGACCCTGTCCTTCTCCCACCCCTCGTTTGGCGTGCCCGTTTTATTTATTTATTTATTGGCGCGCGCGCGCACACACACACTGGCACTAACACTCGCCCCCCTCCGTGTCGCGATGCGCTCCCCGCTACCGTTCCCCTGTGAAAAAAAAAACTTGACCCCGGTTACAAGGAGCGCGTGCCAATGGCCGCCTCCGCGACACACCCACCACCTGGGCCGGCCTGGGAGTTTTTCGCAAGTTTCTCCCAGCCGGCCGCCTCCTGACACGCCCACGGACCGAGCCCATCGAAAAAATCCGGCGCGCCGCACTGCTTTGACCCCTGCTCGCCCCTGCTCGCCACTGCTCGCCACTGCTCGCCACTGTCGCCTCGGTTGCCGAGGCTGCCGCGCACCCGCGCGCCCGCGGTCGCTGCGCGACTACGAACTGCACCAGCTGGGCTCGAACCAACGACCAAAACGTCCCCGACCCGAACGCTGCACCAACTAGGCCACGCCCCAGGCTCGATTTGCCAATGCGTACAAACTGGCCCCTCATAAACCAATATTTATCACTTATTTGCCGAGGTCACGCGGCGCCCCCCCACGGCCAGCCTACCCTCCTATCGCGCCACTCGACGCCCCGCGGCCGCCTCTCGCCTACCGCGCTGCCCTCGCCGGCCGCCGCACCGCCCGCGCTCCAGCCTAACCAGCTTTCTGCTCCAGCCTAACCAGCTCTGTGCTCCACTGCTCCAGCCCAACCAGCCCTGTGCCCCAGCCTAACCAGCAGCCTAGCCAGCTCTGTGCTCCAGCCCAACCAGCTCTGTGCCCCAGCCTAACAGCTCTCCAGCCTTCCTAACCAGACAGTGCTCCAGCTCTGTGCTCCAGCTAACCGCTCTGCATCTCGCAACACACTCATGACAGGGACAGACCAGGCGCAGGAAAAGGGAGCGGGGCCCGAATCCAAGGGACCACCCCGTCGGGCGGAAGAGCTGAGAACTCAGGTCCAGTAGGAAGGCTGCCGGCTCCTGACTCATCCCCCAAATCCCCCACCCCTGTGGCCTGAAACCTTACCATTCCACCACCTCACACACACCCCTCCCCTAGGGCTAAGCAGTGCGCGAGCCCACCCGACTTCAGGCGAGACGTCGACCACTCCTCGGGAATAGTTCTGTCAGTGGCTGCACTAGACGCCCATAGAGGCGCGCGGCGCGGGCGGATGACTAGGGGAGAAAAAGCGGAGATCCTAGCTCGCTGGGAGACGTGCGCAACCTAAAGTTGGGAATAGGGGAGAAGTGTCAGTGTGAGGGGAGGGCGTACGCCGGCGTTTTTGCCTTTGAAAACTGAACAGTTTTTTTTACCGTTCCCCTGTGTCCCTGATCGTCCTTCCAAGATCCTGCTCGTGACATGTATAAGTGGCTAGTGCGTAGTGGGTGGGGAGGACCACCCTTGTCCCTTCCGCTTCTCCCGCCCCTCGTTTGGCGTGTCCGTTTTATTTATTTATACTCGAAAAGAATTTTACCAAAACTCCTCTCTCGCTGTCGCTCGCAATACGCAAGTCGCACAAGGCACAACACAAGGGTCAAGGCACGGGACTGCCCCTGGCGCGCACCTGGCACTAATCAGCATCCGCCCCCGCCGCCGCCTCCACCGCCACCGCCGCAGCCCTGCACGCCGCCCCAGCCGCCATCGCCTCCTTCTCCGCCGCCGCTGCGTCCATCGCCGCCGCCTCCGCCTCCGCCTTCCGGAGCACCGCCACCCTCGCCGCTGCCTCCTTCGCCACCGCCGCCTCCGCCTCCGCCTTCCGGAGCACCGCCACCCTCGCCGCTGCCTCCTTCGCCACCGCCGCTGCCTCCACCGCCGCCGCCGCCGCCGCCTCCGCCTCCGCCGCCGCCTTTTTCGCCTCATATGCTTTGACCGCGCGCACGCCAAGTACCGCCGCCTCCGCCTCCGCCACCGCCGTCGCTGCCTCAGCCTCCGCCTGGGCTGCCACCTCCGCCACCGCTGCAGCCCTTCGCGCCGCCCCAGCCGCCATCGCCTCCTTTTCCGCCGCCGTGCGAAGAGCTGGTGGCGACTCGAGCAGCGTGCAGTAGGTCGGCATCTTCGCGACCAAAACGTGCAGGTCTGCCACCGCGTCAAACTGCTGCCTCTGGTACTTCTGAAAGATGGCGCTTGGGCGGCTCGTCCCAGAGATCGTCTGGATGGGGGCGAGCTTGACCACGCGCAGAAGCTCGCTGGTCGCCGCGTCTGTCTCGTCGTCCGAGTGGCCGAGCAGCCGCCGCGGGAAGAGGCTGCGTAGCCCTGGCCTGCCTGAAGCGGCGTTGACGAGGAGACCGTCGTCGAGCGCACCGATGCTGATGATGGCCCTGTCGAGCGGGTCGACCAGCACGCACGCGGCACGCACGCTCGCTGCCGCGACGACGGAGCGCCGCCAGCGGAGCAGCGAGTACCTCGTGAGCGAGAGCTCGGCAAGGTAGAGGCACGCGTACTTGAGTGTGCGCTCGGGGTCGTCGGATCCGTGCCGGGCGATGTACCTACCGCCTCCGTTTGGTTGGAACTCGCCCGAGACGCCTCGCACGAGCTCGCGCAGAAGCCGCTCGACGAGGACCAGCGTCGTGCTGGCGGCTAGCCCCGCCAGTTCCATGCGCCTCACCTTGCGGCAAGTTGCCACATACTCCGCCTGGAAGGTCGCGTCGGCGTCGGCGTCGGCAAAGTACGCCATCGCACGCGCCATCTCCTCGTCGTTGACTGCACAGCCGCGCCGGTCGGGACTCGGCACGATGTCCTCGTACTGGAAGGCCACGCCAAAGCACGCGCATCCCACAAGCTGGAGCCTGTGCCGGCTGGTCCCGCGGCCGTCGGCGCTGGCCAGATGGTGGTCAAGGAGCGCCACGGCGAGGTGGAACGACTGCGACAAGACGCCCCGGCTGATCGCGACTTCGGCGAGACCCTCGCCCAGCTCGGTGAGCCAGTCGACGAGAATCTCGCGCATGCGGTCGTTGATGTGCGGCTGGCTCTGCATGTAGTTGGCTGGCGACTGCAGCCACGAGTCGCACTTGAGCAGCACTTCCGTCCCTTCCATCGCCGTGCAGCACGAGTGGCGGGCAAGGCGCCTCCCTCGCCCGGAGCGCTCCACCATGCGGCACAGTGACGACCAGGGCTTCATCTTGGGAGGGTAGGCGACAGAGAGCGCACGCACGTAGAGGGCGATGAGCGAGTGCGGCTCCTCAGTCGGAGTGCCGCCACGCACGTCGGCGGCTCGCTTGGCGCGCCGCTCGATTTCGGAACGTGCTGCCTTGCGGAGAGCGACGCAGGTGGCACAGAGGCGTGCCAGCATCACCATCGGCTGCACCACTCGGCTAGCAGTGACTCTCCACTCGTCTTCGTGGACGCTCGTTGGCACCGCCCGCAGCTCGCCACTCGCGCAGGCATGCACGACCACGGCATCGAGCAGCTCTTGCGGCAGAGATAGGAAGGCACTCGTGCGAGCCAGCTTCCGCTCGTGAAGAGTGGCCGTCGCAGGGTCGGGACCGGCCACACGCGATACCTTTGGCTGTCGAATTGTAGCGTGGCGGCCTTCATCCTTGTGCCGCTCCGGCGTGTGGCCGCGCACAGATTGGAGGACTCCTTCGTCGCCGAACACGGTTATTCGGCACGACTCCATTGCAGTCTGGGAGTACCCAGCTGTGCGTGCTGCTCCGAACGCGGCGCCGCTGGGATGTCCCAGCTTGTGGCGGTTGAAGCGACTGCAAGCCCGCGAACCCGAAAAGAATACTGAAATTTTAGGGCCCGCGTTCGACACTCATCACCACCGTAACGAGCCTCCCCGCCTCCGATGGCAGCATGCACGATACTAATGATGCTGTACATGGCCGAGGGCTCAGCGCTGCGCCTTGTCCCACCGCTCGCGTCGAGAGGTCACCGGACTACCGAACAAAGATCTGCGGCAAAGACAGGTTCATCGTGTCCGTTCGGTTTTGAAGTTGACCACCGAGTTGAGTGCCAAACATTTGACGATATGCTCGAGATAATGGTCAATGCTGGTACGATGGCCTGTCCGAAAAAAGCCGCGATGGATTCCTTCAATGAGCATATTACCAACTCGGTGACGAACCTCAAGGCGGTGCCGAAGACATCCACCCTTCTGGGAGGCGGGAACTCGAACTGGGGTAAGCGGGTTGCTGATATATCAAATACCCGAACTTGCTATCCCAAAAGCCGGCGGGGTACTACGCCGAGGCGCTGATCAAGCAGGCCGAATCAGCGGTCGAGCTGCTGGATGGCGATTCTTGTGCGAATGGTCCTCCGTGGTGTCGTGAAGTCCTCGAGAATGTGGCAGGCAGGGTTGGAAAGCAGCTGGCCTACATCTGCAATGGCATCTCAGGCGTCACGGGCTGCGACAAATTCCGCCGACTGCCGAAACTGTCGGCCCTGATGATGAAGCTCGACCCCAGCCTCGATCTGACCGCCAAACTGATCAAGGATGGAATTCGAAACGCAGGGCAGGCGGCACAGGACGCGGCGAAGGAGGTGGCGGAGAAGGCGACTAAGGCGGCGGCAGCGGAGGCGGCGGAGAAGGCGACCAAAGCGGCGGCAGCGAAGGCGGCGGAGAAGGCGGCGTCAGAGGCGGCGGCAGCGAAGGCGGCGGAGAAGGCGGCTGCAGAGGCGGCGGCGGCGGCGGCTAAGGGAACACTGATGACTGTTGCTAAGGGCGCGGGAACCCTAGGCCTCGGGATCGTAGTCGACCAAGTTGTGGCTCCAGCCATAGCTCCAACCACCGAGCAGATGGGAGAAGGCGCTAGCGATGCGGTCAAGACGGCCGCATCCCATTTTGGCGCGTTGACGAGCACAAGGCCGAGGTTGCCGGTGATATAGCTTCCGAGACAGTTTCCGGGGGTACAAGCATGGCGCTGAGCGAGACGATCGCTGCCTTCATTATCTACCTGCTGACCGGCTTATTCACCGGGGTCTTTGCACTCAGCATCCCCGCAATTTTAATCTGGGGCCTGTGGGTCCTCATTACCTCCTTCGGTTGCGCAGCTTTCGTTGCGGTGGGCGGCGCAATAATGGAGATGAATTAAACGGCTCGAAGTGCCCCAGCCGGCTTTTATCGGGTACTATGCTTGCGCGGAAAATCCACAACCGCCCCACACAGCTCCTGATGAGCCCGCACAAAGGACGTCAACGTATCTCTCGTACACCGCCACCAGCCGCGGACCTCGTCTCACGCGGCGGCGGTCCCGGCTCCGCTCTCGTCTCCTCCCTGCTCTCCGCTCTCCGCCTCCGCCGCCGGCTGGCCGTGCTGGTCAATCAGAAAGTCGAGCGAGAAGAGGTTGCGGTTGCACATGTGTCCGAGCTCCTCGTACCTCAGCCGCGTCCCCTTGTGCAGCGCGCGGAGCGGCGCCTCGAAGGCGACGGGCCGGTCGCGCAGCTGCTGGCCGTGCGCGAGCAGCAGCTGCTGCACCCACAGCATCACCGCGTGCACGTGCGTCGAGCGCTCGAGCTCGCCGCCGAGGAAGCGGAGGAGCCGCTCCAGGTACGGCGCGGGCACCTGCTGCGCGACGATCGGGATGTGCTCCGGCGGCACCAGCTGCCAGCAGCCGCGCAGCAGCCCCGGCTCGTTGAGGCAGAGCGCCATCGGCAGCGCGCGCCCAAAGTCGCCGCTCTGCGCCGCCTCGACGACGGCGGCCGGCGTCGTCTCGAGCTCGAGCCCGGTCGGGTCAAAGTTGAGCGCCTTTGGCAGGACGGTAGGCGCGCCGGGGTGGGTGGGGGGGTGGAAGACGATGCGGCGAGGAGGGAGTTAGCAGTGGAGAGGGGCGACGGGGAGAGGGGGGAGGGAGGCAGAGGTAGCAGTGGGACCTCGGCAGGGCGATGTGGGGAGATGCGGGGAGATTTGACCTCGTCGAGCGAGAAGAGGAGCAGCCCTTCGGTCGAAGCCGCCGCCCACGAGCGGCCGTCGGGCGCAAAGCGCACGCAGGCGCAGCGCACCGCGAGGCGCGTCACGCGCTCGCTGCGGCGCGCGAGGCTGCGCGGCGTGGCGGCGGAGGCGCCGCCCGCCTCGTCGTCGTCTGCGTCGAGCAGCAGGTCCTGCGTCGGCCCGGCGTCGGTCAGGTGCGACGAGTTGAGGTGCATCCGCACGCCGTCGAGCGCGGCGTTGTTGGAGAGGACGTACTTGCGCAGCAGCGTGCGCTCGTCGACGCTGTAGAGGCAGACGAACTTGGAGTTGCCGCCCGCGAGGAGGGCGCCACCGTCGGCCGAGAAGCAGAGCGAGCGGAAGCACTTTGAGCCGTGCGCGTTCTTCGACGACACCTTCGACAGGACCGAGCGGCCGCCCGCCACGTCGGAGCGGCCGTCGATGCTCGCCACCTGCGACGCGTCGCGCGCGTCCCACAGCGCGATGGCGCCGTCGAGGGTGGCGGCGGCGAGCATCGAGCCGTCGGGGCTGAAGGCGACAGCGAGGACGTCCGCACCGTGCTGCAGCACTTCGATGGACGAGCTCGACGAGACGAAGTCCCAGAGGCGGACCGTCTTGTCCCACGAGCCCGACGCGAGGACGCACGAGCCGCCCCCGCCTAATTCATCATTAGTCGTGATGAAGAATGAAGTCGGCGGACCGCCTCGAGCAGCCAGGGGCGGGGCCGCTGCCGCTCGCTCCGAAGGCAAGGCACGAGACGGGCGACTCGTGGCCAGACAGCGTCTCGAGCAAATGCGCCGTCTGCAGGTTCCACACGTAGACGTTGTACGTGTCGCGCGAGCCGGCGCACACGATCTCTCCGGACGGGTCGACGGCGACGCAGCCGAACTGGACGGGCGTCGGCGTGACGAGCGTCTGGAAGTTGCGGTAGCGCAGCAGGTCGAAGGCGCGGACGGTGCCGTCGAGCGAGGCGGAGACGAGCGCGCGGCCGTGCGGCACGAAGGCGAGGTCGACCACGGGCGCGGTGTGCTCGCCGAAAGTGACGAAGCAGAAGCCCGAGGCGGGCGACCAGAGCTTGACCTTGGAGTCGCCTCCGCCGGTGGCGATGATTGCGCCGCCCGGCGAGTAGGCGAGGCAGAGGATCTCGGCGAAGAAGTGGCCCTGCTGCTTGAGGACATACGACTCGGCCTGCCACTCCCACACCAGCAGCTGGCCGAGCTGCGCGCAGCCAAACGCGAGCCACTCGCCTCCCGGCGAGACGGCGGTGGCGTCGATCCGGCCGTCCGAGACGGAGAGGGTGTGGATCTCGTTGCAGCTCGGCTGCGGGGCGGCGAGGGGCGGAGGGTGAGGGGCGGAGGGCGAGGGGCGGAGGGCGAGGGGCGGAGGGCGAGGGGCGGAGGGCGAGGGGCGAGGGGCGGAGGGCGAAGGGAGGAGGGCGAAGGGAGGAGGGCTGGGACGGGGCGTGTTTGGCGCATAGCCGAGTCCGCGGGGCATGAGGGGAGCCCGCGCCAACCCTTAGAGCGCCGGGTGGGTGTGCGACGGTCATGAAGAGTCGATAGCCACGGGCCGGGCTAGGAAACGATTCTCCGTCGGGGCGGCGGCGGCGGCGGCGGCGGCGGCGGCGGCGGGTGGCTGCGGCGATACACATCTCGGTTGCATCTCGGCTGCGCATCTCGACGGCTCGCACCATCTCGTACAGCGCAAAGACGCCCGAGCTGAAGCCGACGACGAGCAGCCTCGACGGCGCGTGCATCACTGCAGAGGTGACCCGCGCGTGGCCCTTGTCGAGGTAGTGGCGCTCTCTCAGCTCCCACCACTGTCCGAGCCGGTCCTCGCCGCGGCCCGCCTCGCCCGCCGCCTCCAGCTCGGCGGCGGTGGCGGCCGCCGCCTCCTGGTCCGCGTCCGGCCTCTCCCGCAGCTCCCAGACGGAGACGGCACCGCCGCGGTCGACTGCGTAGAGGGTGCGGTCGGCCGCGTCGAAGAAGACGGCCTTGACTGCGGCGCGGTGCCCGCTCAGGCTGGCGGGCACGTACCCGGGGATCTGGTGGACCGAGTGGATGCGCACGCACAGGTCGGTGCCGCCCGACGCGAGGAAGAGCGAGTCGGACGACCAGCGGAGGCAGAGGATGTCGTCGCCGTGGCCGCCGAAGGTGCGGTGCAGCGCGAAGGGCGTGAAGGAGCGCTCGAGCGCCGGCGTGGCCCAGACCTGCACGAGCCGGCCCGCGGCGAACGCGACCCATTTGCCGTCGGGCGAGAAGGCAACCGCCGTCACCTTGGACTTGAGGTTGAGGTGCGCGACGACGACTCGCCGGCGGACGTTGGCGAGGATGAGATGGCCCTCCTCGTCAACGCCGAGCAGCACCGCCCCGTCGGGCGAGAGCGCAATCTGCGTCAGGTTCCGCCGCGCCTCGAACGGAAAGGTGAAGCTGCGCGATCGCACGAGGTCAAAGCACTGCACGCGATTGCCGACCGCGCTATAGAGCACGTCGCCGGACGGGCCAAAGACGAGCGGACCCTGCCGGTAGACGGTGCCGCAGAGGTTGCTGAACTCGTACGAGAGACGCATGCGAGAGCAGGGTGCTGGACCAGACGGCTCAGCGCGAACGAACTGCCGCGGTGAGGAGCTCTCGAAGGTGCGGGACCGCAGAGTGCGCGGAGGCGTCCCAAGGTCGACGTGCGCGGCTGTGAGAAGAAAAAGTATTCCACGACTCGCCGGCAGTTGACCGTGTGGTGGCGCGCCTGTGCCGTTCACAACCCACACCTCTCCCTCACTCGGCGCTCGGGTTGGGTGGGTCGTTCTTTCTTTCTTTTAACTGCGGACACAACGACCTCATAAACATAAAACAATAACCGACACGGGATGATAATTTGATCATCCACAGCACCACGACGTGCCGCTCGTCGTACATACACGCAAACGAGTGAGATTCGGGTGGGGCGTGTCCGGCCCGGCTATGTTGAGAGCACAAAGAGATTGACCCGGCAAATGAACATAATCATAAACTTGTCCATTGAGCGAGAGTAGCCCAGCGACTTGCGCGGGTCGGGTGCGCCGTAAATGCCACCGCCAGCAAGAGAGAAGAGACCTGCTCCCAGCGGTGAGGGCGAGGCAACCTGGAGGCAACAACAAACTACAAAGGCCGCACACAGCTCTCGCCCGTGAGCCTAGCCGTGAGAGGGCCGTGTGAGCTGTGTGTGGAGCGAGACAGCGAGACCAGAAACCACGATGGAGAGAAAAAACACGGCGTCGCGTCAGCGCGCAGTTGGCAAGAGAGCCTTGCTTGTAGCTAGCTAGTGCAGCGCCGCGCAACAGCGCGAACTCCACCGTACGAGCGCTAGCGCAGCGCGAACTCGCCGTCTGAGCCTAGCGCAGCGCGAACTCGCTCCTGCTCGCTGCGCGACGCTAGCGGATTGACATTTTTTTTCACTAGCCTTCGTTGTTAAGGGAGAGTCACAGACAGCCCCGAGAGACAGCGCGAGGGAACGCGCGCAAAAGGAAGAACGTAATTCGGAAAAGGGAGAGCGGAACAGTGTGCGCATGCTCAGAGCGCGAACGGCGCGGCGGCTCGCCTAGCTGCTGCTGCTGCAGCAGCGCCATCAAGTGGGCTGGCATGCCGGCAGGAACTTACATGGAACCCCGCACGCGCCTCAGAAGAAGCCGCCGTAGCCGCCGTAGCCGTCCTCGTCGTCCGAGCCGAAGTCACGAGTGCGCAAGTGCTTCGGGCCGTCGAAGCGGCGATCAATCGCGCGGCGCATCTTGTGCTTCTTCTTGGTGGACGCGAGGCCCGACCACTCCGCCCTGCGCCCGTCGAAGAGGGTGGAGAGACGCGGGCGGCCTGCGGCGACGCGCGCCCCGACGACGCCCTCGCCAAGCTCCTCCTCCTCCTCGCTTGCCTTGTGTGGCGCGTCGACGCCGTGGTCGACCGCGTCTTTGATCATCCGCAGCAGCGCGGCGTCGGGCATAGCGGCGTCCGCGGCGGCGCGGGCGAGCAGGCACGGCCACGCGAGCGAGAGGAGCCCTTCGGGGCTCGTCAGGTGGTGGCTTCCCGCCTCCTCGCCGCCGAGGTCCACCTCGATCGCGGTGTCCACGTTGGAGACGTCCTCGCCGACGTCGCAGCGGAAGGGGATGGCGTTGATGTTGCCCCACGTGTCAGAGATGAGCTTGAGCACTTCGTGGCACTGATCGAAGGCAACGCCGTGGCCGACGCCGACGCGCAGGCAGGCCTCGACGGCGGCACCACACTTGGAGAACCTGGAGCATGAGGAAGGGACGCATGAGGAAGGGATATGCCTGCCACGGTTTGGTGGGAGAGGGCAGGGGGGCGCTCGCACCACTCGCAAGCTTCCTCCGCAGTCTCCTCGTACGAGTCGTGCCAATCCTGGGAGAGGGGGAGAGGCGCGCGCGGGTGCGGAGCGCAGAGGGCGATGGTGGGATCGGCTGTGGCGAGGGTGGCAGGACGGATCGGCTGAGGCGAGGGTGGCAGGACGGACCGCATCGACGGTGTGCGCCAGCGACTTGACGTGAGCGATGAGGCTCTTTTTCAGGTCCGCCCCTCTGATTGCTGCCAGGTCGGCGGCGTCGACCTTGGCCAGCGCGGCCTTGCTGCTCTTGGGCAGGCCAGACTTTAGGACGGCGTAGCTCTCTGTCTTCGGCGCCTTGGAGGATCCCGACGCGGTCTCGGTCTTGCGCTTGCGCGCCGCCGAGGATGCTGCGGCTGGCTCGCCCTCGTGCTCGCCCTCGTCGCGAGTCCCCTTCGCTTTGGCCTCCTCATGGAGAGAGGCTTGGATTGCAGCCGCCGTGTCGGCGGCCGACTGGCGGCGGGGGCGGGTCAGGGAGAGGGGGGGCATGGAGTTGCTGCAGCAATAATAGCGGCCGCGGACAAATGCAACGGCGCGAAGGCGGGAGTTTATAGCTGGTTAAAAACAAGGCAGGAGGTGCACTCTAGAGGGTAGAGGTTGTCCGTTATCTTTCTTTCTTTCTTTCAGAGGCCGTCATCGCATTCGCCTTCCTGGGACCCAGTGCTGACTTCTGACTTTCGTTGCGACACGACAGTCGCGGCCTACCTACTCGATAAAGTCTGTGCATGCATGTTGGTTTTGTCGGTCGGGGACACGATCCCGGCGTGAACACGACTAAATCGCCTAAAAAGAAAGAAAGAAAACAGACAACCCAAGGGAGGGATGGGAGGACGGCACGCCGCCACCACACAGGGATTTTAAGGAGAGGTGTGTGGTGCGCTAGCCGTCGCCCACCCTAGGGAGTCTGCCTCTTCCTATCTCTCTTCGCAGTCTCTCGCCGCTTCTCGCTGCAATCTTCATGCCACCTCGCGGTCGTCCCACTAAATCGCCTTCCCAGGCTTAGCTAGACTGAAAGATATTTTCTGCACATGGTCAGTCTCTACAATATACTCTTGCGTGGTGTAGGAACTCGTTCTTGGACGTGAACTCTGGGAGGTCCAGCAGCTCCTTCTCCGGGACGAGAGTGTGCGGCCGGAAGCGTGAGCATGCCTTCCTCTCAGCCGGCTCCGGCGGCCGCGCGGAGGCGCGCAGCTTCTCGCCCTCGTCGGGCTCGTCCCACGGCTCCACCTCGATCTCCGGGGGCCTGCCTGTCGTTTGTGGAAAAGAATTTAAACATCTTCGCGGGCGTGCAAGCCACAAGGCATGGCGGCAGCGGTGGTGCCGACGATGGTGCCCGTCACCGTCGCCGTGCGGACGCGGCCGCCGTCCTGTTCTGCGCCCGTGTAGGTTCGTACGCGTGGGCGGTTTTTCGAAACAGAGAGTACACGTGTGAAACGCGACATCCCCTGGTGCACTACTCTGCCGGCCCATGATTCCGCCCCTCGATGCTCTTCCCATGCGCTTCCGCGATGGCGAGGGCCACCTCGTACGCCTCGAGCGTGACGCTTATGCCCATCCCACCCGCGAGCGCCTCGAGCGCCTCGTACATTTCGCGCATGCGCCACGCGAGCACCAGGCGGCGCGGGCGGCGCGAGGGCCCCGCCGCGTGGCATGGGTACTGGACGGCGCGCAGCAAGGTGTCCTCGCACTCCTCGAGCGTCGGGCGATCGCTCCCGTGGTGCACGCCCGAGCCGACGAGCAGGTCGGCGTACGGATGCGGCGCGGGCGTCGCGTCGACGATGCTGATGGCCCACATCGGCACCTGGCCGCGCGTGTAGCCAATCGTGGAGAACGACATCGTCCACAGCTCGTTCGCGGCTCCATACGGCGCCGCACCCGCGACCTCTCTCGTGGCGGGGATGTCCGTGCTCCCCTGCATCCTGCGCCGGTTGGCGAGCCCCACCTTCTCGTCGAAATCGGGCCGCGACTCGCACGCCGTGTCCAGCTGGGCCTGGAGGGCGGAGACCTCCGTCTCGGTCATGCCGGCGAGCTCGGCCGCGGGCGGCATCGCGAAGCCCGCGGCGGCCAAGTCCGACTCTGTCACTCCGGCGTGCGTTAGCAGGCGCACGTGCTGCTTGAGCCGTGCGAGCGGAGATCCCTCGTCGTCGCTGTCGTCGTCGTCGTCTGCCTCGCTCGCACGACGCGGCGGCGTCACGAGCAGCTCCTTGTCCACCCTCATGGCGCACGTGATGAAGCCACCCGAGGGCTCGGCCTCCGCGGCCAGCCGATACTCGTTGCTGCAAATCTGCCGCATGCAGTGCACGCCATGGCGGTCGCCGCGCGCCCAGCACTGCACAGCGATCTCGTACGCGGCCTCGGCCACGCGGGCGTGGGCCTTGGCCCAAGGGGAGGGCGCCGTCGCGGCCGCGCGCGTCGCATCAGCAAAGGCGAGCGCGCGAGACGCCATCGATGGCCGCAGGCCCCGCGCCGCCTGCTCGCCCGTGGGCTCGGCGCTCGCGCCACTCAGCACCGCCTCAACTCCCAACGCCTCCATCAGATCCGGCAAGGGCGGCAGCGCGACCTTCTTGCGTGCTGGCGCCGCCATCAGCGCGTGCGCCTCCGTCTCCGACCGCGCCTGCGCCTCCTGCCGCGCCTGCTCCTGTGCCAGCCGTAGGTGGGCGAGCGAGCGATTGGCCAGGATCTTGTGCGGCTCGGGGTCGGCCTCGACGTCCTCGCCCACGAAGCTGCCCTGGATCAGCGCAGCCGAGTAGCTGATCAGCGCGTTGGCCCACTGCTTTTGGCGCATCTCCTCGTTGCCCTGCTCACGCAGTGCGCGGCCACTCTTCGCCGCCCAGATGCCGCCCATCCACGTCCCAAGCTCACCGGCGATGAGCATCTCCGGGCAGTGCTGCGAGCGGTGGGCGGGCTCGCGCACGCGCCGCGGGTCGGCGAAGCACTCGGAGGCGTGGCGCGTTAGCCCGGTGAGCTGATAGCACACGAGCGCCCGCAGCAGCTCCGGCGAGCAACGCGAGCCAGACGAGTACGTGACGTCGGCCAGCGCCCAGTCGTCTCGCTGGATGACGGAGGGCCGCGCGGAGGTGGAGGCGCCCGCGTGCAGCAGCAGCACCGTCGCGTGGACGTCGTCCTGCAGTATCGCGCTGATGAGGGCCGTCGAGCGGTCCGTGCAGTAGTCGAGCTCCGCGCCGCACTCGATGAGCGCCCGCACGACCTGGGCCTTCCCTGACATGGCTCGCTGCTCCGGCGCCGCGCGCGCGACGGTCTCCGGCGCGTAGTCGATGGCCATCATCAGCAGTGAGATCTGCGACGGCCCAAAGCG